TAAATGACATAGAAAATGCAACACCGACTAGGAGTGCTGTCATTTTAGCTACACATTCGTTAAGTCGTCGCGACATTGATTGGATTTGGTGGTCGTTGTCTTCTTGGCGTATTGTATCCCAGGCCATCTGAATTTGGTTTCGTAGAGCCTCCAATGATTGTGGAGGGTACGGTGAATTTTGCAACCTTCTTCCCATCATGTCCCATTCATGTTCCATTAGGGAAAGGTCTGGTGATCAAGGAGGACACTGAAGCAAATTTACTCCGCACGCTTCTAAAAAGTCTAAAATAACTAACAACTTCTTAGATATAGCTCTGGGCAGTCATGCTACCTCGAGTGAATACTAATCGTGACCTGCTGCCGTAAGCAATGGCACCCCAAACCATAACACCTACAGTGCGATTAATATGCCGTTCGATAGAATATTTTCACCACGTCTCCTCCTTACTCTTGCACGGCCATCATGTGTGCCCAAACAGAATATGGACTCATCGCTGAACCCGACTGAGTTCCACTCCATATTTCACTTTCCTACTCCATACCAATCGTTGCCGACTATGCTGTGGGGTCAGAGATGGGAACAGTCCAAAAGACCTTATTCGGCGATAAACTGATCTATTGTTATTGCCCTTCCGACAGCATCAAACCACTGGTTCGCAACTACCCTCGTTGTGGAAAATCGATCTCTTAGGGCCGTATCGTCAGTCGTTCCTACAATTGTAGGACGCCTTTATGGCCTCCTTGATTTTCACAGTTTTCTACTGTTCCGTGGCAGCGCTATGTCACAAAAATCTATTTGCATCAAACTGTTCATGCCTTTGATATGATATATCTGCCTGAAGTTTCCTACAATTTAAAAACAAAACATAACTTCACAATATGAGAGCGCTGACGCTGACACGGAACAGTAGAAATCTAGAAATCCCCAGCCTTTCTGAAGGCGAGAAAATACTATGAAAATCAAGGAGGCTATAAAGGCGTCCTACAATTGAAGGGCTTATTGTAATAACATGATAAGCCACACAACGACAAAAATCTGTTTTATTTCTCAATTTAGTTAAGCATGTATATATATATATTGTCCTCCTATGGATATATTATATTTATTTACTCGTTTCATGTTCCCTGTATTTTAGAGTAAATAAATATTATTATTATTATTATTATTATAAGCCACAGTAGAAAAGTTGTGACTATTTTCCTATAGGTGGAGTCACTATGCCTTGAATCAAGTTAATACTATTACGCGGTTCTCCACAAGCTTCACGTTAAAACGTGATAAGCCACGTCAAAATGGCGAACGGTTCGTATGTGCCTCTCGATAATCATCCAATTTTAAGCGATATTTGCAGTTCAAGCAGTGAGTGAATCTTATGAATCAAGTGATGGTAGTGTGGTTGATAGGAATTTTGTACCATCAAATGATGACTAAAGTTCAGATACAAGTGAGGTATGTATTATTTTTGTTTTTGTAGCTTACCATGTTTTAACAAAACAAAAATGTCGCGATGAAGGGACGAGAACTATGAACGGGTGAAAAGGAAAAGACGACGCAATTTAGGGCAAGACTATTCAACAGTAAAGAGCAGGAAACTCATTAAACCTCGAGAATTGGGTTCACCATGTAGATGCCAGAAGAACTGCCGAGAGAAGCTCAGTAATAGCCGTGAAAATATCTTCACAAAATTCTCGGATCTAGGTTCCTATGATCTTCAGAACAGTTACCTTTTTGGTGCTATTCCAATTCAAAAAAAGAAAAGATCGTACAAGAAAAAACAAAAACGTCAAGAATATAGTCGACAGTTTACAGCTCAGTATATTGCAAATGTTGATGGTAGGGATGTCAGGGTATGTAAGGTCGAATTTATAAGTGTCCATGGTCTACAAGATTGTCGAGGCAGAATCGACCATATTGTCAAAATGAAGACAACTGGAGCTATTGTCCCTATAAAAGACGGACATGGTATATTGGTATCACATAAAAACAGACCAAATGCACTAAGCGCTGATCAAAAACAATATGCCAGGAAAAATATAGATGCTATACCAAAATATCAGAGCCACTATAGCAGAGCAAATAACATCAACAAAATGTATCTTAACTGCAGTATGACCATAGCAAGCTTGTATAAGGATTATTTTGTTCGGTGGTGTCAACAACAAAACATTATTCCAGTTAAACAAAGTACTTACCGCAAAATATTTTGTACTGAATATAATATCGGTCTGACACGTGTAAAATATGTGATGAGTCAAAGATCAAGCTTGATATTGCCAAATCAAACAACGATGACAAAGATGAACAAAGGCTAACTAGTTTCTTGAATTAACACAAAATTAGATCTAAAGCTATGCAAGATTTGCTGAAATTAGAGACTGAGCGATCAGAAAATACAACAAACGTATGTGTTATCACTTTTGACTTGCAGCAGGCAATGCCTATACCCAAGCTTACAACAGGCCCAGCATTCTATTGCAGCGAAAAGTGTATCTCTATAACCTTGAAGTACACGATTGTACAGCTGAACAGGGTCACATGTTGTTATGGACAGAAAATCAAGCCAATCGTAGATCGGATGATGTTGCTTCTGTGCTTTTTAAGTTTCTTAAAGGTAAAAAGGATGTAGGTCACCTCGTTGTATTCACGGACAACTGTCCTGGTCAAAACAAAAATTGGCTTCTTATGGCATTTTGGTTGCAATTAGTTAAAGAGAAATGGTTTAAAACAATAACACATCATTTTCTTGTTGCTGGACATACCCACTTGCCGTCGGACCGGGACTTCGCGTTGATTGAAAAACGACATAGAAAATATGCTCCTGAAGTTTATTCTTCAGAAGGTTGGCACAAAATCATCAACGATGCTAACAACAAGAATCCTTTGAAGGTCACAGTCATGCAGCAAGAAGATTTCTTCGGTTTTGAACTACTGTTGGCCAACGTACAAAAGACAGACTTCTCTGATGTATATACCTTCCATTTCAAAACAGAAAATACAAAATCATTTTTTGTTAAGCACTCCATAAACGGTGAATATAACGAAGTGAATATTACAAAAAGGGTAGGTCTGTGAATACACCCTTATGTCAGCTGAAAAATAAGTACATGGAACCAATAAAGATTTCAGAGAAGAAACTTAAAAATGTACAATCTCTTTTTCCATATATAAGTACCCCCAATACATCTACCCTTCTTCAATGGACTAAACGCCAGAGAAAGTGACGAAGAAGATGTTGAAATCTTATAGCAGAAAAGTGCGGTAGTGTTTAATTCTCATTTTCTTATAAAAATGTTACTGTATATTTTTATAGGCAATAATATGACAAGCCACATTGTTTTTGTAAAAAAAAATTTTTGAGATACCAGTTTTTTTTGTCACTCCTCTCCAACAGATTCAATGGAAACAGATTTAATAGCCTAAAAAAATATTCAAGTTTAATTATGATAAACGTTGATTTTACACATTTTTTCAAAAACTTAAAAGTCAAATAACTCCGAATTATGTTCTTGTGGCTCACCGTGTTATTACAATAAGTCCTTCAATTGTAGCAGTGACTGACGATACAAGTGCTAGTTGCCTCGTTGATCCTGTCGCTCTGTAGTCTGTCTTTGAGGTTCAGTATCTCTAACTCATCGATTTCCGCTTTCTTGGAGCCACGCTCGACAACATCTCATTACAGTAGCTTCGTTTCGATTGACCCGATTAGCGATTTCTCTAAAAGAGAATCCGGCTTCACGTAACCCGATTATCCGACCCCTCTCAAACTTGGAAAGTTGAGTGACATTAGCGCGTCTGTGAACTCTAGGCATGATAATGCGATGAAACAAATCACTGAATAACATGTAAACATGTTTATATTGTTCGGATCCTGATATGACAAAAAAGTACAATTAGTATATTTTCAACAATCTTCCTAATTTGTCGGTGCGGCAACTAGCATGCGTAGGAGGGATATACCCGGTGTTTCCAAACTGGGAGCAAAAACAAAAGTTGTTTACTAGTTTTACGATTAAAGTTTGGTCTTGACGATTTTCGGAAAAAGGTTCGCTTCGAATATACAGAATAAACAAAATTTGTGCCGAATAGCATTTTCGGGGTATGGTTAGGCTATTTTAACGGCAAAATGTTTGAACTCCATAGATTTTTGCCTATGGGGGCATTCACTCATCCCTTTACGTATCTCTCTATAACCGGATAATTGCTGCATCTAAGGAATAAAAAATGATCCTAGTATTCCAGAAGAATAAGACGCTACAAGAGGTAAACATCGGAATGAAAGTTAGAAACTAGTAAAGTCTTACATATTTTGACGCTAAACAGCGAACCCGCCATATTAAATGTCGACCGGAGCGGGGTAATTGATTGTTAAATGATTAATGTACTAGAATACACCATAAAATTTCATGGACCTGAAAGTAAAAAGCATTACAAATCCGAATCTTGAGTCTTGCCAGCCCTTGTCAACACGGATAAAAGAAAGTGCTTCCAAAATTGGTATTTGAGTTTTAAATAAAATGAATGTTTATCCATGGAAAAATATCTCTTTAGTATCGCGGCAATAACACAATACCGAAATAAGACAGCGCGAAACGTCATCTACCACTAGAATCGACCACTGCGAAACTGTGAATCGCAGCCTAACGGTTGGGACTGTAAAGATCTTAGTCCGCGAATGGAGCCCAGTCACCACGTGACCGCTAGATGGCGACGATTATAAGTAGATGTGGTCTATTTTCCATTGAACAAAATAATAAACATGCTCTGGTTTCGTTCGTCCAGCCAAAGTCAGCCAACCACGGTCAGATGTTTCGTGCTTTTTGGCTACTTCTCAGCATGGTTCAGGCTAGGGTTGCTGGAATAACGAGCGAAAGCATCGCAACCTTACAATAGTGTAATAGACAAAGTGTGTGATTTGTCGAAATAAGGGCGCGAAGGGCCATCTACCTACTAGAATCGTCCACTACGAAACAGTGAATCGCAGCCCTCCTATTTGGACTGTATAGATCTCAGTCCGCGAATGGAGGCCCAGTCTCAACTGTTAAATCGCGACGATTTTAGTTGTGTAGTAGTTGTGACCTACTTGCCATTGAACAAAATAAGCCTGTCCTGCTTTCGTCCTAACAATGCGACTCGGCAGTCTGTGAATGCCTTTAGCTGGAATAATATAACACGTATTATAATTTAGCCATTCCCACACAATCCATTATACTAAATTGGCACTCTTTATTAAGTCTAGAAGATACGCCAGCAAAATTCCAAAAATATGTTATCACTGATATTATACGTTGTTTTTTTAGATCATGTTTTTGGTACAAATGATTCAATTAACGTTAAAACATACTATTTCAAATTAGGAAAAAGTATTGATCAATTTAAAGTGGACAATCGCATATTTTTCCTGAATCACAATATAACAGATCAGGATTACTCACACAAGAGAGTCTGGAAACAAACAAATACAGCAGATGACAAAGTAAGTGAATCAATGATATTGTAAATATTTTGTCATACGGGTCAGTTGAAGAAAAAGAAGCAAACGGTTTTACTCACGAAAAATCAAGAAAATATACTCGCTGTAATGTAAGTAAATGCTCGTGCTTCAAGTAAAGGCTCAATCTGAACAAGAAATCAACTTTCAAATATGGTGAATAAAAAATCGGTACTAATTCACAATCATCATACTACTGACCGATCCCATTGACCATTTTGTATGCTAAAACGTTATTTGAAATGACTATGACGTGGGAAGCATTGTGATCGTGAAATTTTCAAATCTGTAGGGGTTGTTAATTTTTTATTGTTGTGTGACTGTAACGAATTTTTTATTTTGTCGGGTCATTCCTTGATATATTAGATATGTATCCCCATATACAAGTTTAGCCATTTGCTGATATCTATTCCCTAGGATAGTCTGAAATGATTTTGAGTAAGGCCAAAATAAATATGCTGAAAAACAAAATGTAGGACGTTTTTATAGAAAAAATTTATCAACCTGGATTTTACTACTATGAGTCGAAAAATATAAACGCTTGAGTAAGCATGCATAAAACAAGAAATATTTGTAAAATTCGGCCAGATAGACTTGCATGTGCCGAAGAAAATGCAAAAAGTAGATTTTACAAGTTGCATTAGTACAGTTCCTTTGACAAGAAAAAAAAAAGTAGTTCAACTTGTAAAATCTCCAGAATCTTCCGAGGTCTGATATCTGTCATTTCTTTATGAAGCCGGCAAGCATAACAACTGTACGTTCCTGAACCTTACGGGACAACAAAAATAAATGCATTCCATGGAGTTGCAATATCTGTTCTCCGAAGGAGTAGCCGATTACGGATGTAATGATGGTGATTAACAAAAGTGGAAGGTAAAGTTAGGAGAGACATCTAACGCAAAACTAGGGTGAGTTTACAAGTTCAGACACCTTTTTTTCTTGTAAAAAGGACTGTAGCACTGCAATCGCGGCAAAATCTACTTTTTGCATTTACTTCAGTATGTTCGAGTCTATCCAGCCGAATCTTCAGTTCTTAGGCGGTTTAGCATTATTAATTCGTAGCAATCGAGTTATCGGAAGTTATTTCTGTAAAAGATATCAAATCATTTAATTCAGTCACCAGCATTGCGAACTTGTCACAATGAGCCTCTGATAATTTTGAGAGATGGTGAGCTGATTCGCACATACCAGACATCATAAGTGGTTTTTTTGCCAAAGAGCACAACGTTTTAATTATATTTGACACACAACAATGATGTAAGCTGTTTAGAGAACGCATAATCACGTTATGATTTGACTGAACAGTCATACACATACATTGATCTGTGGCGAAGAAGCATATGCTATGGCGAGGCGCATGGCGATCTAGATAATGTTACCTTGATACTGTGAGGCGATTATTTTCTAAACAATTGACTTGTAGCTGATGATCATCGTCCATCGACCAGAAGTCGACGTCAAACCGGAATCGAAGGATAGGCCAAGTCATAATAGTTATCAGAGAAATATAAAAAAATCTTAGTCGTGTATTTTTTAAATTAATAGGTACAAAAAAATCGGAAAAAGCTATACACCCTGTGATCTTTTAGTTCCCATTACTACAAATTTCAATTTTTTCTTAGACGGAGTACAGTGTCATTCTACGTAGTGTTAGCAAGACATATAGTAACACCACTTTTATTAATTCATGAATGTATAGTGCCACTGTACACCGTTCAGGAATACGCTAACATTTATGGGGAATGTGTTGTAGATATCATGAATTCACGGTTATTTAGGTATAGGTAGCGACATCTCTAGTGTGTCATATGAGACGGTCGACAGCCGGTGTTGTATATATACTAAGTAACATATAAATCCGAACACCCAGTTTAAATGGTTTTATTTTAATAAAATTTTGTTTAAGTACTTAATGAAGCATAATAAGTAAATGATAAAAATTTCAAAATGATTGCACTGCTTTAAAGCCCTTTGACCTTTAATAATGTGTGGATGCACCCTGATGTGCTACGCATTCTCCAACGCGCGTAGGCATGCTTCTGATCAGGTGGCCAATGTCCTCCTGTGGTATCTCATTCCAGGCAACCACCAATTCCTCTCGAAGTGCTTCTAGAGTCTGAGGAGGACGTTGAAAATTGAGCAATCTCCTACCCATCATATCCCACACGTGCTCAAATGGGGATAAGTCGGGAGATCTTGGTGGCCAAGGTAACAATGTGACATCATTATGTTGAAAGAAGTCTATTGTGACTCTTGCAACATGTAGTCGGGCATTATCTTGTTGGAAATTTGGATCTGCCAGGGTGTCAAGATAGGGTAAAAGATGGGGTTCTAGAACTTCGTGGATATAACGCTGCGCGTTCATGTTACCTCTGATGAAGATTAAAGGTGACCTGGAACCATAAGCTATAGCACCCCAAACCATAACTCCAACAGTGTGATGAACATGTCTTTCAACAAAAAACTGTGGATTCCTCCTTTCACCACGTCGCCTTCTAACCCTGGCACGACCATCATGCATGCCTAAACAAAATCGAGACTCGTCACTAAAGACAATACTGTTCCATTCTTGATCCCAGAGTGACCGTTGTCTGCACCACTCAAGGCGATTACGTCGGTGTTCTCGAGTTAAAGGGAGGACCCAGTGTGGCCGGTATGAAAACAAGCCAAAACTTCTCATTCGTCGGTAAACACTTCGCATGCCAATAGGTCTTCCGTGTTCTGCAAACCATTCATTTGCAATGGACCTGGTAGTGGAGAAACGGTCCCTTAAGGCCAATAATCTTAGGCGGCGATCTTCACGGTCTGTTGTTCTACGGCGGCGTCCAGTGCCCCTTGCTCTTTGGATACGGCCTTCTCGAAGCCATGCCTGACAACACCTAACCACAGTGTCTACACTTCTTTGCACTCTAACTGCAATTGCCCAAAAAGAAAGTCCAGCTTCCCGAAGTCGCACTATACGGCCCCTATCAAACTCACTAAGTTGACGAAATCGTACAGGTCTCCGTACTCTAGGCATCGTCACCGATCGTAAAGGATGTCAAGAACCAAAATCCGCCAACGTTGATTCTTTACTGCGGATGAAATATTCATTTTTAGAGCGTTAGTGAATTAAAAAAAAGCAGTATAAAAACCGGAATGTCCAACTGATAAGGCCGAAAATTTTTTCACTTGTTATTTACAGTAAGATAAATACATTCACCAACTTTTATTAAAATAAAACCATTTAAACTGGGTGTTCGGATTTATATGTCACTTAGTATATTTGGTACTGTTCTGTGCAGTCGCTAGAAGGGTTTATCTCTGGCAGTCGCTTAAATATAGTTGTAATGACAAGTGTTCTTTAGCTCCCGTTCCCATTAACAGTTTGAGACAATACTTCACAAGTTACACTTGCCTGATATCCAACGTCTACTTTAAATATCTTTAACAGATGTAGATGCAATGGTACTGCAGCAGCTAGTCTTTATCGTGAGAGGTACCCAAATGCTGCTCGTCTTCCTAAATCAAGCACATGGTGAAAGAAGAATTTCCTGTCCTTACGAGGACGTCGTAGTACAAGCAGTCGATGGAGACCCGAGTACTTCAGTGCGTCAAATAGAAGCAAGCACGGTAGTGCCCACGGAATCTGGCGGAAGGACGAGCTTCACCCGTACCACGTACTGCGAGTACAATCTCTACAACCTCGGGAATTTTCTTCCAAAAGTTGAGTTTAGTCAAACAATATTACAGAGACATCGGGAAAATCCGCGATTTTTAGAGAAAAATTCATGGACTGATGAGTCGAAATTTAAAAAAGATAATTACCACCAAACTTACACGAGTGGCATGTAAAAAATCCACATTTGATGAGACAAGATAGATCACAGTATCGTAGATAGATCACAGTATCGTTTTAAAGTACGAGGGATGTTTTTTAAGTTTTGCATATAGAAACATAGTAGGCCTCGCGGATCGAACGTCAGTACTGAATCTTAACCTCACTCTTTAGTACACTTAAATTCAAAGTTTCACAACAATACGTACAGTGTTCTCACTACAGTGAATTTTTAAGTGTCACCAAGTTATTAGAAAAATGGAACTCAACCGAGAACATTTTCGCGCCATAATTTATTGCAACTTTCAGAGACAATTATCGCAACAAGAATGCCTTGCTGAGTTACTGTCTGTTTTCGGCAACGAAGCGCCACATCAGTCGACAATTTCCCGTTGGTGTGGAGAATTCAAACGTGGACGGGTGAGTATTAGCGACGATCCCAGGGTGGGTGCACCAAAAACAGCAGTCACCCAGGAAAACGTCGATGCTGTGCGCAAACTCATCATTGAAGATAGACATGTGACATATCGCGAGATTGAGGCATCCTTGAAGATCTCAAAGACCTCACTTCAAAAAAATTTACTAAAAGAGCTAGGAGTAAGAAAATTAGATTCTCGTTGGATACCTCACCTGTTGACTGAAGAGCAGAAAGCAGCCAGGGTTAATTGGTGTCAAAAAACGCTTGACCGTTTCAATTCCGGAAACTCAAAAAATGTGTACAGCATTGTTAGTGGTGATGTGATGAATTTTGGATTTACTGTTATAAACCAGAAAATAGACAGTCGGATGTTTGGGTGTTCCAAGGTGAAGAAAAGCCAACAAAAGTCATCCGTTCTCGAAGTGTTTCGAAAAAGATGGTCGCGACATTTGTGTCAAAAGTGGGTCATATTGCAACAATTCCTCTTAATGAGCGAAGAAATTAAAAACAGACTGCGTGGTCAAAGGTTTCAAGTCACCAGAAGAAGTAGTTGACGCATTCAAAAATGCCGTTTTGGATCTGCCAGCAAACGAGTGGAATAAGTGCTTCGAAAATTGGTTAGAGCGCATGCAGATGTGTATTAATCTTCTGGAAGATAACATGTTTGCTCTCGCTAACTTCTATGATCTTACAAAAGCATTTGATTGTGTCCAACATCACATTTTGATTCAAAAGTTGTCGCTGTATGGTTTTAGTAATAATAGCCTGTCCTTAATTGCGTCTTATTTATCAGATAGAAGACAGTATGTTAGTTTTCAAAATTGTTTATCCAACAATGTACCTATTAAGCACGGAGTTCCCCAAGGAAGTGTCTTGGGACCGATTCTTTTTTTGATCTACATCAATGATCTGCCAAACTGTAGCATCAATCAGTATATATTATTTGCGGATGACACGACATCAATATCCTCCAATAGTAACTTTGACCATGTATTGCTCGATTCTCAGCAGCATTTTGACAACATTCAAAACTGGTTTAATGCCAACAGTTTGTCAATCAACATAGCGAAAACTCAATCTCTTCTACTCAGCACTCGTCTACATAGAAGTAATTTAGTAGAGCCCGTGAAATTTCTTGGAGTGATTATTGATGCAAGCTTAACTTGGGAATCACACATCACCTCTTTATCAAAGAAGTTATCTAAAATAACATATATGATACGTAGTTTAAATACCTACGTAACAAAATCGACTTTAATGACAGCCTATTATGCTTACTTCCAATCTAACTTGCAATACTGCATACTGATTTGGGGACATTCATGTCATGTATCGAAGGTGTTTGCTGTTCAGAGACGATGCTTGAGAATAATAGCAAACTTATATTTCAGACAGTGTTGCAAGACGACATTTATCGACCTAAAAATTTTAACTGTGCCATGCATATATATACTGGAATGTCTGATCCACGTTAAAAATAATTACGATGATTACAGAACTCCGAAAGAGATTCACAAATATAACACAAGGTTCAACAATGAATTAATACCAGAGTACACAAGACTATCAAAAACTAGACACGGAAGTAATTATTTCGGTGTGAAATTTTTTAATGCGCTGCCCAAGTTTTGTCAAACACTCATCTCAACCATTTTTAAAGCAACTGTGAAAAGATATCTAGTGACGAAAGCTTTTTACAGCATAGATGAGTTTTTAAATAACGATTTTACCGACTTTGTTCCATAATTGTTGACTATTTATTACTTTGTTTTCGTTTGTGTTTTTTTATGTGTTATTTTTGTATTATATTTCATCGTTCTCCAGACGTGTGTAAGGACTTTTGAGTACAAACATGAAAAAATGATTACTATTACTATTTCATAATTTTTAACCATCTTATTTTATTGTTCATTTAAATTTTAAAATAGTTTCATCAAGTTTTTTTTACCTTTTATTGCCACTTTGTGTTTTACGTTTGTCTTATTTTCGTATTGTTTGTTACTTTTACTTACTTTTATGTTCTACTTTAAATGACCTGTGCAAACACATTTTTGTGTAATAGTACCAATAAATTATTATTATTATTATTATTATTATTATTATTATTAAGATGTCAAGATTGCAATAAAAGTGGCGTTACTATCTGCCTTGCAGTCATTACACAGAATGACACTATGCGTAACTCCATCTAAGAAAACATTTAAATTTGTAGTAATGGCAACATAAAGATCATCACAGGGTGTAGATTTTTCCGATTTTTCTCAAGTCTATAATTTGGAACATATTTAAATAAGTGAAATCATATTTTTCCAAGACGGATGTCGTCGATATTTTGAAGCTACATAGTATTGGATTTACAGATTATTTCGAACCAATATCTTGACGCAGAATGGGACTTCGATCACTCCATTATAACAAAAACAGAACTACCAGTGTTCATCGAGAAGTTTCACGAAGAACAAGCGCGAGATATTGTGAACAGTCCTAATATGAAATTTTTATTTAACACACAATGGAACACAACCAGCCCTATAATCAAGTTTAATTTAAATACTTTGAGGGAAAGAGAATCTATGTTAGAAGCCCAGTTATATATTTATTGGCCAGTGAGTAATGATTCCAGGATTTATAAGCAATCCGCAGTGTTGCGATTATATCAAATTGAAAATATCAAGGAAGCTTCGAATGAGACAGAGTTGCTGCAAAATCCTGATGTGCACAAGTTATCAAATGTGATCTACGTATCGAAAGCTCTAAAAGGATGGCAGGTAGGTACAGCAGGAAGGCGAACTAGGGCATGCCACATTGTGACCAATCCCTCGTACTCTATAAATCGTAAAAAAATGAGACCAGTTCCTATAAAAAATCATTATATAGAGATGCCTCGCCCCTGATTTCTTGCAGACGCTCATTTGATGAATACCGCTAACAGTGTAATAAATCATCTGAGCAGGCTATGCTTACAAAATATTAAATGAAATATAACCTGTAAACTAACATTAATTTTTCATGTAGATTCACACCCTTAAATATTCCCATATTATTAAGGAACACCCTGTATATATATATATATATATATAATGAGGCCTTATAGAACCATGATACTGGCACAATATCTCCGTACATGATTATCTATTCAATATTATGTCGTACCCACCCCAAATGCCATCATACTATGATTTTGTTGTACTTACCTTTCTTGTTCCCCTTCGTCTTCAGTAATAGCAGACAGAAGTAAAACTTCTTCTTCAATTTCACTATCTGTATCAGATCGCATTGTAGTAACGTGACTCCAGCCTGTTCGCCACCATGCACGCCACCCCGGACGCGAGTTGAACGCGTTGGTTTGGCCGAGCCTTTAAACAAAAGAGCATTGATGTTAGGAGAGATTAAGTAGAAAACTGAATCAGTTAAATGAAACGTACATTTATTGCAAGCGGCTTAGGGGTGGAGCATAGAGATCAACCTTCATAGGCCATTAAAGGATACGAATGGTTTTTTCTTAGTGTTTTCCAGTGACATTTCTGCACTATTTACGCACTTTTTATCAGAATATCGCATTTTGACACGGGTTTGGGCACGACTGATACACTTATTTTGAATTTGTTCTAACAGAACCTAAATGATGCGGTACTCAGCTTCTTTTGAAAGTTTCCTTGAAATGACCTTGGTCTCGCCTTCAAATGCTCCTCATAGCAATAAACTAACAGTTTTTCCTGCTTCCAGACTTTTAAGATAACCAAAGCTATAAACAACTGGCTCAATGGCGAATCCAATATGGGATTATTATTGACTACTTCGCTCTATGAGGGCAATGAACTGATAGAAATATTCAATGACACAAACAATGGTATATACAGCACTTTCGTTGCCATCTCACTTGAAGACCAAGGTAAATATCGATAAACAGTTACAAACATTTTTTCACAGCACACTGAAAAAGCACCTCACGCACTCGTGAAGTTTTCCCGTTCTATCATATGACATGAGATCTCCACTTACATCCTCTCAATTTACATTTTGAAGAGAACCTTCTTTCACTTCTACTGTGTAATTTGTGCGACAACATAACATGGTCATAATCACTTATTACCTGGGGCCTGATTCTAATGGAATTTCGACCGTTGAAATGAACTTCGATGTCGCCTTGCCATCATACATATGATCCGCTATGATAATTCTGACACCTGATTAAGCTGATTTCTATATCGAAATTATCATAGTATCAGTGGCGAAGCGTCCATGTAACCACTGTTACCATTGGTAACAGTTAAAAATCTTAAAAATAAATATTTTATGACTAAGTACTGTGAAATAAGTTAATTTATTTGTTTACCAACAGCGATATTCAGTAAATAGCAAATTGGCCCCACGAAAATAATGCGCCCTATAGTGTCTAGGTTTTGTGAACACGATGAAGCTGACTCGCCTCGACTTGGTTGTCGGTTGTTACCATTTTCATTTATGGATACACTTGGTAGTCCGTCGGTACCGGCTCGTGTCTTATCGCGGTCGCCCGAGTGCGTGGGGCGCTGCGACTATTATGTAGGCTTGTTACCATTTTTTAATTTGGTTACTCACTTCTCAGTCTTCTCACTCGTTAGTACGTTAGTAGCCGTTTTGGTTACCGGCTGTAGTGTGCGTGCAATTAAACATGGATGAGTGTCGCTGCGTAATCGATCAACTACTTGAAAAGTCATTCTCCTTGTATAATTTTTAAGAAAAAAGGAAATCATTGAAAATGAAAGACCAACACCTATTTTAGATAATTTTAAAAAGGAATAAAAAAACGTAGTTTGATATATATTTTAAATTAAGTTGGTATATGGAAACTTTTGGTTATGTGGTTGCAAAAAAACAAATTGTATTGTTGGCGATGTCTTCTGTTTTATACAGAAAAAAATGGGTGGACCAGCAGCAGAGTCAACGATTTAAATAGTTTTAGGGCTCTAAAGAGGAGACATGAAATTTATCCGTTACATGTGAGATGTGTAGCCAATTTAACTCAGTTTAGCAAAACAAGAATCGAAAGTTGTTTTAACCAAGCTTTTAGTCAGCATACTTCTAGATATCGTATGTTTTTTTGGCAAAACAGGAATTACCGTTTATTTTGAAGGGGATGACTCTGACAATAGAGGAAATTACAGGGAATTGTCAACAGTCATTGCCAAAAAAGATCAAAAATTTTCCGAACAGCTAGAAAGGTCGACTGTTTTTTCGGACGGCTTGGATTAGTCATAGGATAAGACCATGAGGTATATCAAGTACCCCAGACGCTCAGTCCAGGAATGTTTACCTTAATTTAAAAATAGTTAAAATAAAATACCTAAAATAAGCAAACTTATATTTAGGAGGTTCAAAATAAACTTTTTTTTCACATCTGGTTTTGGTAACAGTTTAGGAAAAGTCACGCGTCCCCATAGTATTGTCGATATATTCATAGTAGGGTCGAAATCATCATAGAGGCAAGGCGACAAAGAAATTAATTTCAAGTATCAAAATGCAGTTGCCATCAGGCCCATGAATAAGAGATCAAAATGACATTCATAAAACCACGTTCATAATATTCTAATATTGAAACTGGAAGTTTTACTAAGGACTGTTGCGGTTTTAGAATACATACTGTAACTCTTCGTACTGAAATCAATGAAGAAGTATTTTCAGTCTAACTCAATAAAATGCTCTTTAAGTGATCAATATTAGCTCAACGACCACAATTATTACGATAATCAGCTGCATGTAACTACTTTTTATGTTCTTTGCCGTAGATTCCTCACGAAATACGATTACTCTTTCTCAGCACAACCAAGCTGAGGCTGCATGTCGAAAAACAACATGGAATGTTAGCCTCAAGCAGCTTGGATGGGACAACTTCATTATAACCCCTTCAAACTTCCAAGCATCAGATTGCTCTGGAAATTGTGCACAGGTTGACATTACTGCCATTAATTATGTAAAACTACTACAAATAACTAAAAAAAGAAGATCATATTGTGTACCTTCAGGTTATACCTTCTTGCCTATTATGTATTATGATAGATACAATAATGTTGTATTGAAAAAATACAAGAATATCATTGCAACGAGTTGTGGCTGTAGATGAAAACGATATGGAGTTGTGCAAAAATGTGTTCGTATCCAATAAATAAATTATCATACTACAAAATACCTTTATTCTACCAAGAAAATAACTCTCCTTAGCAATTTTAATGTCTGCAATGAAATATGGTTGGCATAGAAGCGGTTGTCATTAGTGAAGCACTCACCCAGCTGCTGATGGTGACAGGTTCTTCATTCCTTTCTTGCGTTTCGTCGCACTCCAGTCTGCTGAACCACTTCCAGGCCATGAAACTGAATCTTTACAGAACTGCTGTCTAGTCTCCCTTTACCCAAAGCCAAATACGAGAAACGCCTTATATTTTTGCCAAAATGGGAGTTTATGTAAGGGTGTAAGGTAAAACAATACATCATCTATAATATGGTATTTCGAAGAAATGAATTTTGCTTCCCTTATCACATAAATCAATGGATTCGTATGTAGCTTTGATTAAATGTATTATGCATATTCTCATGAATAACCGCAGCACATAAAATACCCTCAAAGTTTTCAAAAAAAAAAAATAAAGGCTGGGGCAATGTTTACGAACCTACCGATTTTTCGGTATTTTTACTGAAATGAGAACTTATTTACCGAAGTACAGATAACGTCCTCGTTTTCCTCAATTTTTGAAATATTCCAGATACCTCCAGATTTTTCACCGAGACAGAGCTGCAACGAAAAATAAAACTAAAATAATGAATTTTATGCAGTTGTATGGCCTCTACAAATTATACATGTGCGTGCACTTAGGCAAGCGGGCACCCGAGGGACGTAGATTTGGGAGTGCCTGTAATTAGGTTAATATGTACGCACATTCTTTACGTCCCAAAGAGTCATCAACGAAGAAAATTTTTACAATTAAAGTATTAATAACAGCATGATTTCTGGTATTTCCAAACAATATTGGTATAATCCCAAAGACAATTCGAATGTTTTGTTATTTCAACAGAAATGATGTACAATCCAGTCAGTTTTGGTTTTACTCCATTTATATTATTTGGAAATAAAAAAGTATGTTTTTCATCGATTTTATTCTGGCAGCAAAATTACAACGAATAGAATTGCCCGCATTTTGAACCACACTTTTATAATGATTATTTTTGTTGTGCCTGTTATACCTACATGTATAATAACCAAACGTATATGATCATTATATTTTGTTTTTGTAGAAAATATATAAAATTTGTTATTGTTTAGTTGTTTTTCCTTTTAATGAACTTCAAATGAACTAAAATGCAACAGTTTATATCTCGTTTTACTAAAAATGGTATTCAAAGATTGTCAAAAATAGTGTTTGCTATTATTCTTCAAAGTGAGGTTTTATGAAACAATGTGTAAGAAAGTTATTACTAACCTACAGAGACCAAACCGACGTCAATCAACAAATACAATAAAAAAACATCTGTCAAATATGGCTGTTTTCAATGAATGGTCTATAACCCTATAGTGATTGTACGTCAAGATAAGTATTTTTTGAAAAAAGCATTTTCATCAAACTGTATGACACAGAAATGGCTAACGTCGCAAAATATTGCACGCAAATGATTTGCACATCACAAAATACTCATAAATATGGGGAATATTTGTGTATAGACACACTTTTAGGAAGTAGAACAGCACAAAAAAATGTGTTGCAAGGAAGGCCAGTCAATGGATAAGGAAAGATATACAGGATGTTCAAGATGAGGATGGATAGCACTGGATCTCTGAAGCGGGTAGAGTTACAATATTGGTTGAAAACTTTTTAAAAAATTAATTAAACTACATTATACATATCAAATACTTGAACTCTTTATTCAATTTAATATTCATTTAATTAGATACATAGAATCACAATTTTCATCTTGGATATAAAATATCATAATGACCCGGACGATACAGCAAATGAACAGTGGGTGTTCTACCTTCTGGAATATCATGTTCAGTACAGTTTTTGCCCGTACCCCTATCCATATAGACAACTCGAACTCCTGCATTTATTGCTGCACAAGCTGCCATGATGTGAATGTGGTCACTTTCTTTATACATGGGTTCGACTTCTTGATGGCAAAAATCAGTAATCTGGAAAAATGTATTATTCGAGGTTCATTAGACGTAAAAATACAAAAACCTCGGAACCCAGAAAAGCTTAATAGGTTTTTAAAATTTTTAGCGGAATGCATTTAAAATACTGTATATTAAAAGCTTATATGTTATTTTTTGCCCTTTTTACTTTTTTGTTAACATTATTTAAAAATGTAATTATTCACTTTTATAATACACCAGCTGGTATTCATGTTTTTAATTTATATTGAGCGAAATTATATGAGACGGTAGAAACCAAGAGACTCGATCTGTATTTGTAATCGGTTTGTTCGTACAGTGGTAAATGACTTGTCGGTGACAGTGTTTGGGATCCGGCCTTGTAAGTTCTGTCTATATAGCGTGGCTGAATGAACGGACAGGTTGGCGATAGCTGTATGAACAGGGCTTGTATTTGACTCAATTGATCCAAGGCGGAGTTATCAAATTTAAATGGGTATTTTAGAGTTTAACTAATCACGTTATTGCTTTTTTTCGTCAGTGTGGTCAATGGACTTTCAGTAGAGAAAATTATTTTCTTCTGCGTGTAGTCATGTAGAATTAAATACAAATGTAGGAATACCTCTAACTCACTATACATTTAATCATCAAGGGACGAGGAAAACAACAAAACCCACAGATTTTGATTGGAACATATATACTATACAAATACTAGAAGCATTTTACATGTTCCAGTTTATTTATATGAGTTTCACATTCGGTTGATTTATATAGCTGCAGAGTTTTTATTCGTATTTAACTCCTTTAGTTAGACCCACAAACTAACCAGTCGCGTGATTAGTTCAAAATATACAGTTAAAATTTCGTTGCGCCGCTCTCCTGGTAGAATTCAGTTGGATATAAAAACAAATTAAGACTCTTAATGATTACTGTCGATTTACAGAGATTCATTTAAATCTCTCAAATAATAAACTTGAACACTCTGTATCTCAGCAAGGGAATGAAATTTAAAAATACTGACAATCTTAAAGCGCGCAAAATTATCATACACATTTTATAATAGACGGTATTCCACTAACAATGTTTATTAAGCTTCCCCAGGTTCAGTGGTATAAACCTAAGAGCACTACACTATAAGATTGAGGCGTAAATCTATATAAAGTAATGGCATTCTCCCAGAAGATGCCCAACCATATGCTGCCACGGTCATGTTGCCAAGTAGCATCGCAGTAATTCCCGCAAAACGAACTCATTTTTCTTTTGAAGAAAATATTCTCAAACATAACATCAACCTTCCAAGTAGACATCACCACTCAAGACGGAGATCGATAGATAAGTGGTCGGCGGTGCCACGATACGTACGCTTATTTACTCACAGGCACGTCTTTCAGTTAGGTTGGCTTTCTTCTGGCAGAATATGTTAATCAATGGATATGGAAAAAATATTTTTACCGTTCTATCTCCTTCAATAAAGCAACTATAGAAGTCTTGATCTTTTTGCAACTGACCGCTAGTTAGAAGTCTGAGATAAACAACCATATAATCTGAATATCCTTGTTCATTAAATATAGTGTGAAGCTCTCTCTTGGCATCTTCTTTATTGTCGATATCTCTCAAACGCTTTAGCACTTCCATGTACTGAAATATGCAACCACTGGTTATGTTCTGTTCCATTTGCAGCTAAGAGCGCTGCGTGAAGAATGGCTTAGCTCAGTTGCTCGCTATTGACAGAATCTTCTGACATAGTTCAGCATAACCTGTTTCACCTACGTGACTTCCTCCAATCAATCTGAAGGTTTTTAAAATTCTCAGAGCGGGCTATTCATGTCATATAGTAGACTAGGCTAGGCCATACCTTACGCAACGCTAAGGATGGCAATCTCCAACCGAGAGGATTCAAAACTAATTTAGTTTGTTATTAGAATATATATATATATATATATATATATATATATATATATGAAATACGTGGTGAAGTTGGTTTCTTATATGAATGTAGAAGTGTTGCTTCAGTATTAAGAATATTGTCTCGTAATTTGAACAAAGAACTCTTGAAGTAGTCAGTTTCATATATTTCCAGAAATATACTTAGTTTTAAATTCTCTTGATTAGTGCTCGCCGCCCTTACACTTAGCAGCAAATGTAACTGAACGTAACTAATGATACTGAAAACAGCTTATCTTAATTATAAACAAATTGTGTATAATTGTTTGAAATATGAAAATAAAGTTTGATAAATACATCAGTACCACCAACCCGCCGCAAATACGTATAATTATAAGTAGAAACCAAGTGAGATTTTTGCCATAATTTCGAATGAAATGTCAACCAAAAAATCCCTACTTATAATGGTAAAGTATATTGTTTCCGGCGTGCTGCGATGGAGAAATTTGCTTGATTGCATTAATTTTGCTACCGCAGAAACTTCTTCAGGATCAAGCGTACTCACTGGGTACCTTAAAGTACATGAAATAAAAATCTACCTCCATAGGTACACTTGACCTCAATGCGTTTCTGGGCATGCCCGCAATAAAGGAACAGGAGCAGAAATAGAAGGATTGGTATCCCGAGCGACGTACTGCTACGTCTGCTTATTGGGTTCATCAGGTCCAAATCGATGTCGATCGAAAACACCTAATATATGTTTTCATTTCGGTGTTTTCGAAGCACATCCATTAGGACCTGATGAAGCCAATAAGCAAAAACGTACGTCACTAGGGTTACCAATCACAAAACATTACGCCCATCACATCTAGATAAGGGTATAACCTAAAGGAAAACAAGTATGGAAAATGAAATACAACTAGAATCCACCAACAAGAGCCAGCAAGCACATTTGTGGCTTCGATCACAAGGTTAGAATTTGTTTGACAACACATGATAAATCGGGTCGGAACATGGTATGGCCGGGCCCACAAACTTCGCATATTTAACACGAACTATTTGTATACAATTTTGAGGCTTTGTAGGAGTTGTTTGATAACACACAATAGGAGGGTCGCTGGAAAATGTTGGAGGTTACAGGGGCGTGGAAATTTAATTAATT